TGAGACAAAGTATATGTGAACTGCTGTATGAAAAGTGAATTTACTCTGTAAATCTTCACCCAAATCAAAATAAAATTATAAAAAAAAAAAAGAGTATTACAAAGTCAACATTCAGTCTGAAGAAAAAAATGAGAAGATAAGCAGACAAGGAAACTAGCGTACTAGAAATGAAACCAGAACACAATTACCACGAATGTTGACAAATTGTAGAAAATGTTACTAAGCAGTTTGTGTGGAAATATTGTCAAATGGGAACCTGATTTGCTGTGCAAACTTGCAGCGAGAACACAATAAAACATTATTTAAAATCATAATAGTGAAGAAATTTATCTTTAAGTAGAAGGACATTTGTCTTTGTGCAATGGGAGTGAGTTTTATTGAGACACTAATTGGAATGAGACTTTTGTACTAGTCCTAGGTAACATGTAATATTTCTGGAACTGCCCTTCAAAGTGTTGAAACCACAAAAAGTAACATTATATCAACATGATTAGAGATCTGATTTTACAGTTACAGACATTTCAGAGTGAAAGTTTAAAACATTATGAAAAGCTAAATTTTGTATGTGTATTTGCATAGTACATAGATTTGTTTTTTTGTTGTTTTATTTGCTTATCTTTATCAGTTGGTGCAGTCACTGTGATAAGTCCATTAGAATTGATTAGAACCCAGATGCAGTCTAAGAAGTTTTCGTACGAGGAACTACATCGATTTGTCAGCAAGAAAGTGTCTGAAGATGGTTGGATTTCCCTTTGGAGAGGGTGGGCGCCCACTGTTCTTAGAGACGTACCTTTCTCAGGTAGGATTTATCTTGTTACTGTCTCATAGATTTTAGGTAGTAACTAGAATTTAAATCTCTTTAAGCTTCAAAATAAATTATTTTCTTTATTTCAATAGTGGGCCTTCAGATCTTTATGAGTCTTTATTAATGAAGAGTTTCTAATTCAAGCCTGGTTTTCTTTTATCCCTGTCTTTAACTTCCTTTGATGGCTTAATTTTTTTTTTTTTTTTTAAGAACATAAAAAATAAAGATTAATTGATATGATTTCATATTCAGAGAATGCAAACTACCTTTTTTTAACATTATTCTAAATAAGTCATAATTAGTAAGTGCTATGGACTGAATTGTGTCCCCCCAAAATATTTGTGAACTTGGCTAGGCCATGATTCTCAGTAGTTTGGTAGTTATGTAATGATATAGTCACTCCCATGATGTGATATGATATAATTATCCTCCATTTGTGATATTTTGTAAATCTTTAAACTCCTCGTGTTAATGAGGCAGGATTAGGTTATGTTAATGAGGATTAAGTAATATTTGTTCTGTTAATGAGGCAGGATTACAGAGAGGGATACAACACCCTTACTTAGATCATTGCCCTGACCTAATACAAGGGGTATTTCTGTTGTTATGTGCCATGGAGTCAGACGCAACGCCTAACGACTCCTCCTTGGGTTTCCGAGGCAGTATCATTATGGAAGTAGATTGCCCAGCCTTCCTTCCAAGGAGTGGCTGGTGGGTTTGAACCGCCAGCCTCTGATTAGCAATCAAGTACCTTAGGCACTACACTACCAGAGCTCCTATAGTCTTTCAATAGTGATTTAAAATTTTCTTCATGAGAGTTGTGTACATTTTTTTTTATTATTATTATTGTTACTATTTTACATTTGTTTATTAGGTACTCCATATACCCCTTCAGCTTTTGGTAGCTATTTTAAAAGCTCTAAGTTTTTAAAAATTATTTTTCGTAAATATTTGTGGCTGGTCCAGTTTTAATTGAATTTTGTCTGTTTATATCCAGCTTCCTTTTAAAACTTTGCTATAAATTCTGATTTGTCTAACTATCTTTGGGTTTTCTTTGCAGGCAATAATATTATGTATAAATTGTGACTGCTTTGTTCATTATTAATCTATGTAGTTTGTATTTGTTTACTCATCTAACTCTGCTGCCTGGTACAGTTTTGAATAGTACTAACAATAATATGGGGGAGCTCTGATAGCGTAGTGCCTAAGGCATTTGACTGCTAACCAGAAGGCTGGTGGTTCAAACCCCCCAGCCACGCCTCAGAAGGAAGGTTGGGCAATCTACTTCCGTAGTGATGCCACCTTGGAAATCCAAGGAGGGGTCGCTATGAGTCAAATCCGACTCAATGGCAGTGCGTTTGGTTTTTTTTAATAAGTTTTTTTATATCAATCTTTTATCAACTCAAAGAAGTTCCCCTAGTTTTCTGAGAAACTTCATTGTTTTTAATGAAACAGAAAATGTTTTTGTATCATTATTAGCTTATCACATGATTCTTCTAGTTTAACCTGTTGATGTGGTATATGGCATTTAAAGGTTTCATTGTGTTAATTTATTAGTTATTTCATTATACTTATGTATAATGTATTAAGTATGTATTTTATATATACCTTTGCGTTACTGGGATCAACCCAACTTAGTCATAGTGTATGATCTTTTCTGGAATACTCCTGGCTTCAGTTTCTTTTTATTTGCTGCTGTTAGTTGCTGTTATGTGAGCCCTGACTCATGGTGACTGTATATATATATATATATATATATATATAACAATGAAATGTTGCTCCCACATTGTGGCTATTGTCAATCCATCTTATGTCATTGAGGGTTTCCCTTACTTTCGCTGACCCTCCACTTCACCAACCATGATGTCCTTTCTAGTGATTGGTCTTTTTAGGTGAAAAAGTAAGTGAGCCAGTGTCTCACAGTTCTTGCCTCTGTGGAGCATTCTGGTTGTATTTCTTTTAAGACTGATTTGTTCATTTTTGAAGTCCATGTTACTCTTCCCCAACACCACCATTTGAATGTACCCATTCCTCTTCTGTCTTCCATGTGCATTGTCCAACTTTTGGATGCATAAGAAGTGATAGAAAAGACCATAGCTTCAGTCAGGCACATCTTATATCTTTTGTAGCAGATTTTGTTTGCTGCTTCCATGGACATTGATTGTTGATCCAAATAGAATGAAATCACTGAGAATTTCCATTTTTTCCCCCATTTATCATAATGTTGTTTATGAGTCCACGCTTATTATTTATTTAGGATTTGTACACCTATGTTTTTGAGTAAAAGTGGCCTGTTCTTTTCCTTTGTCTTACTATCTTTGTCATATTTTGGAATTAAGGTTCTTCTTTATTAATACATAGGAGCTCTGGTGGCATAGTGCCTAAGGCATTTGACTGCTAACCAGAAGACTGGTAGTTCAAACCCACCAGCCGCTCCTCGGAAGGAAAGTTGGGCAATCTACTTCCATAGTGACACTGCCTCAGAAACCAAAGGTGGGGTTGCTATGAGTTGGATCCAACTCCCTGGCAGTGAGTTTGGTTTTTGGTTTTACTAATACATAGTTTTTCCTGATAAGACTGATAGAATATTACTGGGAATTTGGTTTCCTTTTTTTAAAAAAAATCCTGTCTAGTGTTTTCTAAGCAGTAAGCAGGGTGTATAATGGTTAGAATTTCTCCTTTCCTTTAATGTATAATATCATAAATCTTTGAAGTTTACATTTTATTTCTAAATATATATTCATTTTATTCTGTTTTTATAGCAATGTACTGGTATAACTATGAAGTTTTAAGGAAGTGGTTGTGTGAGAAATCTGGTTTATATGAACCAACATTTATGATCAACTTCACTTCAGGGGCATTATCTGGTTCTGTAAGTTTATTCTTTTGTTGTTGATATTTCAGAATAGTGCTAATTGTCAAATTATTTAAAACAGAGAAATATATATCATTTCTTGAATATTGTGACAGCACTTTCGGGCTGTATTACTTTAAAAATTTTCTAGGAAGTTACCATCCTTTTTTTAAGGAAATAAATTACTAGCTTTTAAAATATATTAAAATTTACTTTGTTTATGTTTTATATTACAAATACATTGTATTTTTCTGAGAATGTTTTGGATCTGTTAACTCTGTTATGCTTATGATAATGATAATAGTTTAAATAGTACTTTATTATTTCCAGAACATTTTGTAGTACCTTCGTTCATTAAATGCCAGTGAATCTGGTTAGGTAGTATTTCATACTGTCATTCCATTATCTGTAATCAGACTGAATAGAAATAGTTTTATCTTTTGCTGTTTGTTCTTATTTCTTTGGAAATATTTTGACAAGTTAAGTCCTTCATTAAGAAATTTCAACAAAAAGTATAGTCAGAGAAGGGAGAAATCTTGGGTAACCATTTTTGTGTGATAGAGAATATGTCTTTCCTACCCTACCACATAATGAATGTCATGTAGAGGACTGCTTTGACACAGATTTCTAGCACCATGACTTTAGACACAAAGGTGTTTTCTTTATTTTTATTGTGATCTGGGTGAAAGTTTACAGAGCAAATTCACTTTCCATACAGCAGTTCACATACACTTCTACTTTGTCTCATGACATTGATTGCAATTTCCCACAATGCAATAGTTCCCCTCCCACTTCCTCCCCATAGTCACCTCTTCCCTGTGTCCTTTGCTTCCATGCCCTTCTGCCCCCCCCCACAAGCTGTCTCCCTATGCATACACAGCCCTTCTATTCTCCCATGATTGATCTCTCCAAGGAGTGTATTTACGTAATGTAAATGTTCACCTCCTATGCCTTTTGTTTGGCTGGAAGCCACAGCAGTGGGTTCAATTCCAGATCTGAAGGGCAACTAGGGGCCATAGTCTCAGTGGTTCCACCAAGCTCTATCAGACCAGCAAGGATGGTCCTTTTTTAAAAAATAATTTTTGGTTTTATTCTACATTGTTCTCCCTCTCTATCCAGGATCTCTTACATAGATCCCCCTGAGTGGTCCAAGCACCATCTATTTCTTCTAGTCTCATAGTTGTATAACCTGGGATTGTATGGTGTACCAGTCACTTGGGCTAATTGTTTCCATACATCTTTAGTTTTCTTCATTCTTCTTTGCTCTGGACAAGGAGAGACCCATCATTGCATCTAGATGGCAGCTTGCAAGCTTTTTAAGATCCCAGTTGCTACTCGCCAAAGTAGGATGTGGAACAGTGTTTTGTGTAGTATGTTATGCCACTTGAGCTTGATGTCCTGAGACTATGGTCCCGAGCTCACAGGTCAAACTATTCGCTCCCTTTAGGTAGCTGGCTATGGCCAAGAAGTGACTACAACCTGTCCTTTGTTAGCTCTACTGTATACCTGGGAATTTGGACACAAAATTTTCTCATACTCACTTACTTTCAAAATAAATTTGTGATGACTTACAGTGAGACAAAGACATATTAAAACCACACAAAAACAAGGGTGAAAGGGGCAAAGTGAAGTGATGGAAAATACTGGCATAATCATATTAAGATAACCTAGGCTAGGAGAAGGAGCTCTGGTTGTGTAGGCATTTGAGTGCTAACCAGAAGGTTGGCAGTTCAAACCCACCAGCCACTCCTCAGAAGGAAAATTGGGCAATCTACTTCTATAGAGATATTGCCTCAGAAACCCAAGGAGGTGTCATTATGAGTCACAATCAACTCAACGGCAGTGAGAGTGAGTATGAGACTATGAGAAGCCACTCTGGTGAGCTTAAAATGTAGATAGGGATATTCTCAGATCTAAGATCTGTCCAGTTAAGCCTAATGGATTATAAGGCTATTGTTAAATCAAAAGAATACTAGATTGTAATATAATGACTCCAGAATGCTGTCTCAGCTTTCTAGTAAAGAACATTCTCTGTATTACTATCCTATTTAACATAAAATATTGTTTAGTGATTTTTTTTTAATGATCTAGAAAATGTCAAATACCCTTCAATATTTTTCAAATAAAGATTTAATCACTACAACAGAAAAAATACATCATTGTGACAGTATCCAGGCTTTCGGTCAGAAAGCAGGATATCTAAACAATATCATTTTAGACAATTTGAAAGAGACTTATTTAACTCTGCTACCTTTTGCTGGGGGATTGTAGAGTTGGAGAAACAGTATTTTATTTTACCTGAGATATGTGAATAAGGCTGATTTGATTTCAAGAATTTAAATCAACTAATTGGTGTGGTGAAATGAAACATAACTAATTTTAAGGTACATGTTATGAGGACATTGCACAAACTCTGGGAAGCAAAAAACAGAAATCTTACTTTTCATGGCTGTTGCATTTATCAAATATGGTGAAAACATTTTTAAAGTAATTACTCTTTTAAAAGATCTCCTCTGCTTAACTAAGTGTTATGGAAATAATTGTTATATTGATTTTTTTGAGAAAACTTTAAAATATTAGTGAACTATTGTTAACTATAAGGAGTTCTGGTGGTATAGTAGGTAAAACATTTGGCTAGTAACCAGAAAGTCAGTGGTTCAAACCCACCAGCTGCTGTGCAGGAGGAAGATGAGTCAGTCTACTTTTGTAAAGATTTAGAGCCTTGAAATCCTAATCGGAATCCTAACTGGGAATTACTATGAGTCAGAATTGACTTGATGGCAGTGGGTTTGGTTTTGGTTTATTTTTAAACTATGTTGATAAATATGCTGAAATCCATAAATAAAAGGTACATAAAATTAAAAGTTGAAAGTCTTTTATTTATTTCTTTTTTCATTCTATTTCTTTTTAAAACATTTGTGGAATTTCAAAATGCTTACTTTTAGGTATTGAACACTTTGTGCTTTACAGTATGTATATACCTTCTAGTGTAGCAAAAGGATAGTGGAACTTACAGGAACATCAGAAACTGTGAGCACTGGTTTTGAGCTTAGACAGATCCTGCTTGGGACTCTGGCTCTGCAACTAGTAATTGTGTAACCTGAGGAAGATAATGGAACTTTTCTGAGACTTAAGTTTTATTAACTTATTTGAGAGTGTTGTGAGGAATACGTAGGATATATATCTAATTTCTTTAATAAGAGCGTCTCTTTAAATATATCTGGTTTCAGTTTGGTTATTACAATCAATGTTAAATAATGTCCTAATAAAAAATATTTTAGGAAAAATTTAAAAGTAGATTTAATCAATTTTACTTTCTGATAGTTTGCAGCTGTTGCAACTTTACCATTTGATGTGGTCAAAACACAGAAGCAGACACAACTTTGGATATATGAAAGTCATAAAAGTAAGTTTAATTAACTTAAAACATTTTTAAGATGCCAGAAAATTTTTCCATTTTTTCTTACAGTTATTAAGAATATCTAAAATATGGCAAACAGGTTTGTTTTTCCCTTGGCTGCCTTATTACTTATGTTTTGAAACTAGTATACTGTTAGAATACCCAAGAAAAAATACTCTAAACCCAATAAAAAATAATGAGATCTTAAAATATATATCTTGGCTGCCATCAATTAAGTCTTATATTTGCTGTATAGAAGATTATCTTTGTTATTCAAAAGCTAAATTGTTTTATTATTTTTTCTATATCAACTTACTTGACCGCTTCTCCCATTCTTCTTGAAACTCTCAAGTGTGTACTGAGTCAGGCACCATACTGGAACATACAGATAATGAATCAGTATCCAAGCCCTCAAATCCCTCATAATCTGTGTTGTTGTTAGGTGCCGTCAAGTTGGCTCTGACTCCTAGCGACCCTATGTTCAACAGAATGAAACCCTGCCTGATCCTATGCCAGCCTCACAATCCTTGCTATACCTGAGCCCTCTGTTGTAGCCACTGTGTCAGTTCATCTCCTTGAGGGTTGTCCCCTTTTTTGCTAACCCTTCACTTTACCAAGCATGATATCCTTCTCCAGGAAATGGTCCCTTCTGACAACATAACCAAAGTAGGTGAGGCAAAATCTGGCCATTCTTGCTTCCAAGTAGCATTTGGGCTGCACTGCTTCCAGGCTATATGTGTTAGTTCTTCTGGTAGTCCATGGTTCTTTCAATAGTCTTTGCCCACACTGCACCTCAAAAGCATCAACTCTTCCTAGGTCTTCCTTATTCACTGTCCAGCTTTCACATGCATCTGAGGCGATTGATAATACCATGGCTTGGTTACCAAACTAAACCAAACTGACTGCGGTCAAGTTGGATCCAACTCATAGTGACCCCTCCTTGGGTTTCTGAGGCAGTATCACTATGGAAGTAGATTGCCCAATTTTGTTGTTGTTGTTATGTGCCATCAAGTCGGCCCGACTCAGCAACCCCTCCTTGGGTTTCCGAGGCAGTATCACTACGGAAGTAGGCTTGCCCGACCTTCCTTCCGAGGAGTGGCTGGTGGGTTTGAACCGCCAGCCGTCTGGTTAGCAGGCAAGTGTCTTAGCCACTATGCTAATCGTCAAGGAGACATCTTTGCTCTTCAGCTCTTTAAAGAAGTCTTTTGTAGCAGATTTGTCCAGTGCAATATGTCATCTCATCTCTTGACTGCTGCTTCCATGGGTGTTGATTGTGGAACCAAGTAATATGAAATTTTTGTTAAGATTTCAATCTTTTCTCCATTTATCATGATACTAGTTAATTGGTCCAGTTGTCAGGATTTCTTTTTTCTCTACCTTGAGATGTAATTCGTACTGCAGACTGTAGTCTTTAATCTTATCAGTAAGTGCTTTGAGTCATCTTCACTTTCAGTAAGCGAGGTTGTGTTGTCTGCATACCTCAGGTTGAGTCTTTTTCCAGTCCTTATCTACATTCTTCTTCACACAGTCCAACTTCACTGATTAGTTGCTCAGCATGCAGACTGAAAAAGTATGGTAAAAGGATACAACCCTGACACACTCCCTTCCTGATTTTAAACCATGCAGTGTCCCCTTGTAATCTAGTAGAGGAAAAGCTGCTTACAGAAGTATTTTAGGATGTAGTAAATACTAGTTCCTGCAACAGAGGTAATTTTTACCTCATTTATAAATGCATCATTTATATTTAGTTTTTTTTTAATTAATCTCCAGTTTCAGCTTTTTAAATGTAGCTCAGATCCACCTGTTTTCTAGAGGTTAAACTTTTTTCTCTGAACATACTTAATATTTTAAAACACTTGAAATGTAAGAATCCTTTACATAGTTGTTATATTTGGCCAGTAAACTTTTGAAAAAATGATCACTCTTAGTAATAATTAGAAAAACACCAGCAAGAACAGCAGTGAGAGGACTTTTACGGACATTGAATTGTTGGAGAGGATATGGAGTAGTGGGAACTCTCCTGCCCTGCTGGTGAGAGAATAAAGTTGGAACAACTACTTTGAGAACAGTTTGGCAATATCAAAAAATGTCCTTTGACCTAGCAATTCCACTCATGTTTATGTTTCCTAGAGAAACTTTTGCAAATGTTGTTGTTGTTATGTGCCGTCGAGTCAGACCCGACTCATAGCGACCCCTCCTTGGGTTTCCAAGGCAGTATCACTACGGAAGTAGATTGCCCCATCTTCCTTCCGGGGAGTGGCTGGTGGGTTTGAACCGCCAGCTTTCTGGTTAGCAGTCAAGTGCCTTAGCCACTATGCATAGTGTCCACCATGTAGCATAGTGCCTAAGGCACTTGACTGCTAACCAGAAGGCTGGCGGTTCAAACCCACCAGCCACTCCCTGGAAGGAAGATGGGGCAATCCTACTTCCGTAGTGATAACTGCCTAGGAAACCCACGGAAGGGTCGCTATGAGTCCGGGCCAACTCGACGGAACAACAACAACATTTGCAAATGTACAAGGATATTCATTGCAGGATTCTTAATAATATTACAAAGTTGGAAACCACCTAAAAATGTCCCTTGTTAGGAAGTAAATTATGATAATCCATATAATGACATAGCATACAGGAAATAAATGAATAAAGTATAACTACAACTCTTCAATATAGATAACTAATGTTGCATTACAGGAGTAAATGTACTAATCATCTATATAAAGTTTAAAAACATGAAAATCAATAGTACATATTGTTTATGGATATGTTCAGATATAGTAAAAGTTTAAATCCATGCATAAGGAAGATTAAAAAGAAAAAAAGGAGAGTTGTTGCTTGTAGTCAGGGAGAGAAATACAGGGAGCTTCAGCTGTATTTGAAAGACAGTTGTCAAGGTTTAATACATGTGGATGGTCATTAAGTAGGTGTTTGTTTTACTATTTCTATACTTTTCTGTGTACTGGAAATGTTTCACAATAAAATTGCTTCTTTACAATTAAGTTGCTTATTACCTGTGGAAGTAGCTCTTTAGTGTTGGAACTTTAGGATTCTACTAGTGCTCTGTCATGGCTTACAACAGTTGATACTCTTTCATGTTAAAGTAATTTAACTCTGCTTTAAAAATAGAAACTAGTTTGGGGCTTGAGTTCTATGAGATTAGAAATACCTGTCTACTTGATTTTCTTTCTTTCATACATACCTGGAGTATAAAGTTCTCATCATTGACTTTCTTTAGAGTTAAATTTCTTTCATAAAATTTTTGGCCTCAATTTTAAAATGTGTCCTTTCTATTAGGTTGCTATATTTATTATATATTTATTTTATACTATTTATATTGAAAGTAGCTCTCATGGTGCAGTGGTTAAAGCATTCAGCTGCTAACCAAAAGTTTGGTGGTTTGAATCCGCCAGCCACTCCACTGGCAAATTCAAAAGATGAGGCAGTCTGCTTCCTTAAAGATTTACAGCCTTGGAAATCCTATGGGGGCAGTTCTATTCTGTCCTACAGGGAGCGTCCCTATGAGTTGGAATCAGCTTGATGGCAATGGGTTTTTTTTTATTTTATATATATTAATGGTGTAGCTTCTTAAATAAATAGGCATCATTTGCCTTCCTAATCAAAGAATCTAGTATTTTATATAAATGAGATTGTAAGATAATGAGCTGCAGTCCATTAGGTGGCAAAACTTTAAAAAGCCATTTTTGAAGGATGTCTTTCTATAATCTTTTCCCTTTTCCCCCCCAAGCACGCTTAGTAGTAAGTACTTAATCTTTCTTAATGACTGAGTGTTGTCATCAGTGTAAACATTGATTACTGAAGAGTTTTGTAATGCTGCTTTCAGAAGCTAGTGAGGATAATACAGGATTATTGGCCCAAGATCCAGCTAAGTTCTTCAGCCTGTCATTTGTTGATTGCTGACATGGTAGTATGATGTAGGCTTCTAAGCAGGCTTTTTTTTCTTTTTTTTAACTTACTACATCTAGTAGTCTGTGGGTTAAGCTAGCTTAGAATCAGTATGTAAACTCTCATTCATAAGCTTTAATGATTAAACTTCAGCAACATCTATTTTTGCCAGGTTTTTTTTTTTTTTTACTATGTTTTTGATATTTGAGTGGTAAATAAATAAGGTGTTACTGTTGGGTAAGGGATATCTCTCCTTTTGGAGGAAGCAGCATAGATCTAATACCTTTCAAGACTAGCACATCCGTTCAGATAGGTTACTATAAAGTAGGGCCTCACTGGGGAAAATGGGCTATTTTCCTGACAACCTCTTTTTTAGGGGAAAAAAGGAAACATTTTTAATGTGTGCAGTAAAAATAATAATAAAAAAATGTTTACAGACTTCTATTTGGCATTAGGTACCTAATGAAAGTTTCTGTACATTTTAAAACTTTTTAAGATGTGCAAGAAGCTGTAAAGAATACCTTCCACAAGGCTTCAGAAACAAAACATTTCCAGTTCAGGAGAAGCCTTTTTATATTTTTCCTGGATTGTATCCAATACCTTTAAACTTATGTCCTTTTTCTATTTTTTTTCCTTTGTAATAAATCCAACTATTAAAAATAAGATTTAAAATAGCTCTTCAGGTAAACAGATCTATTCTTATTATAATGAAATGATATATCCCCAAAAAGACATAAGCACTATTTTATGTGTATCATCTATGTTATAAATTATTTCCAGATTAGCATTATTTATTTTAACATTTAGTGTCTGTGCCTTCAAATATGTCAACGTGGGTTATAATGAAGAACATTGTTGGTGAAAATGGACTTTCTGGATTATTTACAGGTAAAATCATTTGCTTTATCGAATCATTGAATACAATGATTTACTTGTACATCTGATACCTTCTAAAATTAAGTTTCAGGAGAAAGTTATAAGAAAGCATTCCACATTTATGATTTTCTCCTATATATATTTGCTATAAGTTAAAAGAAGTGCTAAATAACAGTATTTTACTATCGATACAATAAAATTTTTATATAAAGTGATATAGAAATTGAAGTAAGAGAAGGCTAAGAGTAAATTATTTGGCTTGTTCTTTGACACCAGTTTTTGGCATAGTGTTTGATATACTACTTCATTTAATTTGCTTCTCTCAGAATAAAACTAAATTACATTTCTAAAAATAAAGTAAAATTGTTTCTGATGATTCTTATTTTCTTTTCAGGCCTAATTCCTCGTTTAATTAAAGTTGCTCCTGCTTGTGCCATTATGATCAGTACCTATGAATTTGGGAAGGCTTTTTTCCAGAAACAGAATATTCAAAGACAGCAATACTAGATAATAATGTTGTTTCAATTGGACATGATAACAATAGCCAAATAATAAAATGGAGACTGTTAAGCAAGAACTTTTTCCACTATTATCCAACAGTGATTTGATGTTTTTCTCTACTGTAATTTAAGTGAATAGTTATTTATTACTCCATATACAGAGAAATGTTTAAGCATCTCAGTAAAGCAGATAATAAAAGGTAGGCATTAAGTAACATTATTCACATTTACCAAATATTAACTATTAGTTATTTCTTAAATCCAAATGCAAGGAGCCCTGGTGGCACAGTGGTTAAGTACTTAGCTGTTAACTGAAACGGTGGTGGTTCAAACCTTACTGGTGGCTCTGCAGGAGAAAAGAGCTAGCAGTCTGCTCCTGTAAAGATTACTGCCTAGGAAACCCTATGGGGCAGTTCCATTCTGTCCTATAGTGTCAAAATCGACTGGAGGGCACACGACAACAATCCAAATGCCTTAGGTTTTTGGTTTTTTTTACCCTGTGTTACTGTTTTAAATCTTCGCATGTATTAGGGTTTCTGTCATCAAAAGGTAGCTATTTTATCTTTATGAACAAAAATAATCAGTTATATGATATGGATGCTGCCATTTTTGGTGATCAAACTACTATTTCTATGAGACAGGGAGTTTTTTTGCTGATTAGACCAAATGTTAAATTCAGCAAACTTGGATGTGCAGTGGATAATCAACACTGAATTTAATCTAGGAAAAATAAAGTGTGGGTACAGAATGGGCCTCTGGTTTTTAACCATTTTGTAATTCCAGTACCATTGTTCGTGGAGTTCTTGACATCATTTCTAATGGCTTGTCCTAACATTATAGAGATTACTACTATGTTGGTCACAAAATATTTCAAAATATCCTATGATTTCATGCCCTCTCACATTTGTATGCTAGACAAAGAGAATAAACAAGAAGCAGTTTCCTTGAAGAAACTGATTTTAGGCAAATGCCTAAGTAATTCAGCTTTTGAATATATGTAGAAATGAAATAAAAGATATGATGGCAGCATAAGAAATGGTATTCTCCTTTTATATTGTTTAATTTTCAAGATGATCTATATCTTTTAAGAAAAAGCACTGCATTATACTCTATGTGTGTATTATGACAATATGAAACATTTTCTAAAATGGAATAATATGTTTAGGTGACAAATACTCTCTGGTTTCAGTTGAACAATTAACACATTCTGTATTAAAGTAGAAAAGTATTTATCTCACCAGAAACAAACTATATAGGGTTTGTATGTAGTCTTTTGTATTTATTTTATCTTATGTTGATTTACCTTAATTTTGCAAAATGCCCATTCATATAAGTATGATTTTAACTTATACTCTAATTAAAATATTTTGTGCCTTAAATTATCATTGTGCTTACAGATATTTTCAAATAAAAATAACTTAATGCTATTCTCTTTGTGTGTGTGTGTGTGTGTTGCTGTTCAACAGTATTAAATTTAAATTACCTCGATTTTGTTATGCTTCTTTTTGCTAATCGATTGATTGATAGAAGCAAGTAGAAAAATAAAATACATAATTATGTTCTCAGAAAGCAGCCACCGATCTCAGCTACCCCTTATAAATACCAGAAGGGCAGTTTGCATGTTGTCTACCCATACTGCACTTTAGGATAATTCTGTGGTAAAAAAGCATTGATATTTTTAAATAAAACAAATATTAGCAACCAAGAAGGGTTTGCCTAGAAATTATTTCAGCATTTTGCCTAATATTATTTAATTGAAAGAATGCTTCAATAAACACAGTCCATGAATGACTGAAATATTAGCATTTTTATTCCCCCCTCCAGAGTTTTGTTTTATAAACTAATTGAACTATATTAGCAGTGACTAAATATTCCTAGATTTCACTTCAATCAGTAGACAAATTTAACTTTCAGCCACTTGAGTTTCTAGTCTTTTTAATACACAGACTGCAGGAATTGCAGTACTTTTAAACCTAGAAAACAGTTTTCATTCTATGAACATTAAGGGAATGTTAAATTTTCTTACACGTTAATTACTTGAATGTAATTTTTTCCAGAAATACCTTATTCAAGTATTATATGTTTATTATCTTTGTTTAATATAATTCACATTCTCAACTCACTGCCATTGAGGCGGATCCAACTCATAGTGACCCCTCCTTTCGTTTCCGAGGCGGTATCACTACAGAAGTAGATTGCCCGACCTTCCTTCGGAGGAGTGGCTGGTGGGTTTGCACCACCAGCTTTCTGGTTAGGAATCAAATGCCTTAGGCACTATACCACCAGAGCACCCATAATTCACATCAGACTTTTTTAAAATGTAGGCATGGAGTTAAAATTAGTTTTCCATTTTTTCCTAGGAAAACGATTCACTTAGGCTTATTTAACTTCCTGTAACCCCTTTTATTTAAACTCCTGCCTCCCCACATTTTCTTGGGCCCAAGTTCCAGGGATGGGGGAAAGTTTATAGTGTATCACATTTGAAATTTTTTGCCAAATGAACTTTAAAATAATAAATATATTGCTTTTATTTGTAAATCTATCATTCAACATTTATTGAGACTTTTAGACGTTTCATATACTGCCCACAACGAGGTCTCAGAGCATGACTGATAGAAGTATGTAGTGGGAGTTATGGAAGACAGGAACTTCTTCATTCAGCCCAAAGGCAGAGAGAGTAGTTGGGAATGCTTCCTAAGGTTAGGACAGGCAGGTAATCTAATTAAACTTAAGGGGAGGTGGAAGTTTTAGTAAAGGAATTTAAACCCATGTGGCTTAAACAAGGGATATACATGGGAAGGTGTCAAGAGATCACACTAGATGTGTAATCGGGCATTGTGTGGCAAAAGGACAAGGCGGTGGGAAACAAGGAAAGATGGCACAGCTGTAACCATTAGACTGGAGCTTTATTTTAGAAAAACTTGCAGCAGCATGGAAAATGGGACTTAAAGTAAGGCAGCCTAATCCAAAAAGTTTGGCTTGGATTAAAACACTTTTAAAAGGTGCTATCGTGACAATGATATAATCTCCCTATCAGTTACAAAGAGTAAATGCTAAGACTAAATAGAAGCTGCTTTGCTCACTGAAGAAACTGAAGTGAAACTGATTTAAAATTTTAAACAGCCCTTGATGTTCCAAGTCATGGGACACTTCAGAGGTAATCCAATATGTTTATCAAAATCTGGACATTTTACTTTATGACAGAATCATTATCACAGGCTCATCCTAAATTGTAAATATGAGACATTTATAAACACTTAAAAATTTGTATGCAAATCTAATAAAACCAAAAAACCAAACTCACTGCAGTCAAGTCGATTCAACTCATAGTGACCTCTCCTTGTGTTTCCGAGGCAGTATCTCTACGGAAGTAGATCACCCAATCTTCCTTCTGAGGAGTGGCTGGTGGGTTTGAACTGCTAGCCTTCTGGTTAGTAGTCAAATGCCTTAGGCACTGTGCCACCAGAGCTCCCAAATCTAATAAAGATGAGTTAAATTAAACTAACTTGGTTTCACTTATTTAAAGTTTCTGTCAGTCATAATAGTAGCTTGAATTTGAAATGCACATCTTAAAAGCTTATGATTTCCTTTAATGCTGACATTCTGGTGCCATCATGTCGGAGCTAAGAAGACGGAGATGTTTCCATTTTACAGATGAGAAAATGAACATGGCTATTATACAATTAAATCTGTAACCCGGCCAGAATCATTAAACTACTGCTTCAATACATGTTGCCTGTTTTAAAGCATATCATGTTATTTTTAACAAATAAAAAAAGAGTATTCAATTTTAATGTGACTTGAGGTAAAGATTTCTCTACATTCCATTTTCATTATAGTAATTTAGGTGAAATAATACACATTTGCCAAATCAAAACAAAAGTTCAGTGCATAACTTGTCAGATAACTTTGTCAAGATTTAAAAAAGACCACTAATGCCATGACACAAAATGTTTACTATACATGCAACAAATATAGTAACATCAAGGCAACAAAATACATGTGGAAATATTGGCATATAATTTAGCATTCTTTTTTTATGAACAATAAACACTACCACCTAAAATTAAAGATTGAGACATACACTGTTTCTTCATGCAAACATTAACACCTCTATAACTAGTGTGAAATGAACTGTGTAGAAACCTGAATTTCACAATAGCGGATGAATTTTATACCAAGAGCTCCAAAGAAAGGAGGAAAAGTCATGATCCTCAGATGCCATGGTTAAATCTGCATTTAGCAGCATATTAAGATGCACACATTAACTATACATTAGACAAATCTGAAAAAAAACTATCAACTATGGAATCGAATTTCCTTATAAAAATGTATGGAAAATTTTAACAATGTTTTTTTATTGTTATTACTGAAGGACCGTAAGTGTCAACTGAGAGTGGACCATGAATGATAAAGCATTAGAATATTCTGACAGTTCTTAGCAAAGCAGCAATAATGCTCAAGGCCAACTAAAATTTTTGAAGTTCCCCTCCTTAACCATTTCTTCCCCTACTCCCAAGGTTTCCAATGTCCTCATTTTTATACCTTGCCTCCCCCATGCTGATTACAAACTGCTTTGGATACCTCATTCACAGTGAGGTCTACAGGACTGAGAAGAGACTAAAGGTACTCTTGCTCCAAAACCCTTATTTGCATTTCTGTAAGTATTAAAGCCTTAAGTGAAAGGAAGAAAGCTCTTGTGTGTTCTGGCACATCTAGAGTAACAGTTAAAAGGACTTTCAGGCTTTCTTTGTCTTATAATGACATAGTTTGGACTGTCTCATACATAAGACCAGTCTTACCATTATTTATTAAATTCCAAATTATAAGACTAAGCTGTAAATATTGCAGGGAACCATCACAGTCTTACATCTCCAATATACAGAGTAAATGTGACAAAATTCGGAGTTCTGCCTCCTTTCAATAAAATGTTTTTGGAGGAACATTCTTCTATATGCCAAAGCTACTAAGCTTGAATGTAAACCACAGGAAGTCCTCTGTAAGTACTGTAGCCTCTTCATGTAAACAACATATAACACTTCTTTGGCACAATTAATCATGTTTTCCTCATATTCTCTACTATAGAAAATATACTAAATACATTTTCTCTTATTATGGTTGAATTTTTAGAGACAAATGATTATTTGCAGTTGTGGCAAAAACTGCAAAGAATTAAAGATATTAAGCCTTCTTAAGAAAATTTGTTACTTGTGGAAGTACAGGGATTTTTAACATTAACATCAGTTTTAACATGAGATTATGGCATGATGATGATAGAGGCTATAAAACATACCACAGTTCACTGTTGCATAGGGGAGAAAAAACAGGGCTCTATGTCACACAGTATTTACTGTTACAGGTGATGATTACCCTACAGGTCCTTATTTAAAAGCTCAAATCCTTAATTTGAAATCTTTCTTGATAAAATACTTTTTCACTTTGTCAACGTTTTTTTCTACATCTTTAAATATTTCCAACTTTTGAGACATAACTGCTCATATTTTTAAATCAGTAACCTTTTAAGAAAATCTTGGGAAAATGAAGATTAAGAAATTTATCTGTTCAGTTTTCCTAAATGGCCTAAAATACTGTAAAATATTAATATGTCCCTATGATCTTAACAAATTAGTAACAGCCTAAAAGGCACATTCCTACAAATTTATAAAATGTTAAGTGGAATGTTAAGTTTATACCAAATGATAAATGTTAAAGGAAAATGAAATAAGCCTCTGAAACTGCACCTGAGGGCCTTCACTGTCTGTTAAAAGAAGGCATTTAACCATTAGAACCTAGAAAGAAATTAATACAACAATGAAATGTGTAAATCATTTTTTTGTGAAATATTTAATCATCGAACAGAAGAGTGAAAAAAAAATACCTAAGTCTCTAGAATCTCAGACTCAGTCTCTGGTGATAAAGATCCATTAAAACAGATACATGAAAGTCAGCTGAATTAATAAATCAGTTTGTAATAGAGTATTAATTTGGAGGATCTTTAAAAGGTTTTGTTTAAGCATATTCATTTTTAAAACCTCTTCAATGAAGTTCCTCAATAACAAAGATGAGGATTTTAAAAATGAAAAATGGCAGGATCATTGGTTTTCACTAAGTTCATATGGAGTATACTGAGCTCTATAAACAATAGAATTCCAGACATGTGCCAGAACAATATAAAACTTCAAAAGTCTTCCCAGCAGTCAAACTTACGTAAACTGAACATTTACAACATAAGATACATTGGCTTTCAATAAAGTTTTTCAGGATGGAGTTAGGCCTGGACTTGTCATCTCTGTTGTAGGGCTTGCAAGGTAGTCATTAGATTTTAGGCTTGTTAGAGACTTGTAACTTGCCATTGATGTTAGAGATCCACAGAGACCAAGTAATGAGGGAGTGTCTTCTTTACCTGAAAATTAGGATAAAATAACTAAGATCATTAATTGCCCTTGAAGAGTGTTACCAATAAGATCCTAAAGAAACTGCCACACTTTATAAAATACTGCAAATACACCTAACTATAAAAACACAGATCCCTATATCCCAATATGTTTGACCTTTTAGTTTCAGTGTCACCCTTAAAAACATTGCAGGGGATTATTCAGGCTTCTTGAAAAGTTCTAGATGTGGATGTTCGGGATATCATGTTTAAGAGCAAAAATTAAAAATTACATTTTTTTTAGAAAACATAAAACATGTTCAGTTAGGAAAGTACAATGAAGAACTGTAAATGAAATAATAACACTGACTAACTTAAACCAAACTCACTGTCGTCAAGTCGCCTCCGACTCATAGCAACCCCTCCTTGGGTTTCTGAGGTAGTATCTCTGTGGAAGTAAATTGCCCAGTCTTCCATCAGAGGAGTGGCTGGTGGGTTTGAACCACCACCCTTCTGGTTAGCAGCCAAATGCCTTAGGCACTATGCTACCAGACCTCTTAACACTTCCCAGGCCACAGTAATACAAGGAAAGCTATACTTAACCAAAACAATGCATTAGAAGTAGGTTGATCTTGGTCATAGTGGACTGCCCCAACATAACAGGTAGACTTGATTTGGGAAGACTATTAATTTGTTCATCAAACATTTATTCAGTAATTACTATGCATCAGGAACTTTGGTAAGTGCTATACTTCAATAAGAGGAGCTCTCGTGGTGCAGAGGTTAAAGCATTCAGCTGCTAACCAGAAGGTCAGTGGTTCCCATCCATGAGCTCTGACCTATAACGTAGCTATGAGTTGGAACCAGTTCGACGGTTCGACGGCAGTGAGTTTGGTTTGGTTTGGTACTTCAAAAGGCCTATGTAAGATGAAAGACAGAAGATTTCTGCCGCTGGAGTAAAACAAGTTCTTTCCAGTTGTTGTTGCTGTTGTTGTTTGCCGTCAAGTCAGCCCCGACTCACAGCGACCCTGCTAATTTTCAACCCAGAGTGTGCAAATACCAGTTATAAATGGCTGGCTTGGTGTTACCTTAAAGTTCTTAAATTAGCAGGCTTCCAAAGAAGATGGAAAACTTAGGTGTCACTCGCAGTAACCGAAGCGTAAGTTGAACCAGATACTAGATATTTCTGAATGTTATATATTGTTTCTAATAGCACCTCTGAGTGTCTCCACCGTCCTTTATACTTGCCCAACTAGTCATATGATATAGTAATGGTTTGCAGTTTATTCAACTATAATCTCTGAGAAAGGCCATGAATTTTGTTGTGTTCTTTATTATATTCTCAATGCCTTAAACACAGTAGCTGCTCATTAAATAATTATATAATAATTTAAAGGATGATTCTGTGGAACTCAAGATAGCTCCTGTGATCTCTTTAATTTTGTGACCTTGGGCAAGGCATTTTCTCTGAGCCCATTCTTTTCTTGGTAAAATGGGAAAAAAATAACAAAAAATGACAGGCTAGGCTAACTTCATAGGTTTGCTGACAGGTGAAAACAGAAAGATGCAAATTGTTGGAAAAAGCTATAGAATAGGAATTGTTACCTTAAGATTTAAAATGTTTATCACATTATGTCAGAACCAAAAGGTAAAGCTATTACAACTATCCTTCTTTTAATGTTTAAATTTAGAGATTCTTTGCTCAGGTCAAAAATATAACTATGAAAAAAAAGAAGATACAGGAAAGTAGTTACATTCAGACTTGAAATGTTTATCGTGTCACGTCAGGGTCAAAAGGTATATATGTTCCAAGCATCCTTTTAATATTTAAGCTAAGAGACCCTCCTCGGACCAAAATCTACTCTCTGGAGTTCTTTATAAATGCTCCAGAAGCTCAAGTGCTTTAACAGCCTACCCCAATTTCTACTTTATGACAGCGTTTTAAAGAGATTTATTGCTAGTTACATATATTTTAAATATAAACTATCATACAGTAATTGCAAAAGATTATAAATTCAGTTAACGTAGTGACACAATAGAGTACCATGAACTGTGAAACACAATGAGAAATGAACTTTCTGCATACTGTTAAGTAGTGATTTCTAGGATATACTGTTAAGTGAAAAAGGGAAAATAGTGTGTACAGTATATTACCTTTTATCTAAAAAAATGGGGATGAGGAGAGGAATAGGAATCTATTCAAACTAGCTAATACTTTAAAAATCGATAGAAGGACAATTCAAAAACTAATAAAATAGGTCTCTGTGAAACTGGAGTAAACAATGTTGAGCCAACTTTAGCACAGTAATTTGACTGTAAATCCTTAGAGGGGTATAGTCTCAAGATAAAATAAGTGCAAAGGAATCTTAAGCTTTTTAAATAATAATAAGACACAGAGCTGGCTGAATCAAGCAGCCTCTGACTCAGTATTCTTGGAATAGTTACGTGGCAGACCACCACATAACTACTGCTGTTGGCAACAGAGAACTGCTTGCGATTAACAAGCTAGGCTCTTAGGCAAGATAAGAAGTTACATTTCAAAAGCTTCACAAGCTTGACCAGTTGTAAAATGCTGATTAACCTCCTGAATTGTCCTTCAAATACCTCATCAGGTGTAAAGTATGCAGTAAAATTCAATGTGAGTGACAAAGTGACCTTCCACCAAAGGCAGTCAAGAACAGGAGTCCCTTGCCAGGGCTTGAACCAAGGTCCAGAGACATCATGCATAGGCAACAGCCCAGAGTAAGTCATGTCAAGTGTCTCAGCAGCCTTTGCGATGGGTTCCATCTTTGTTCCAACCGCCTACGCAGTGGAATCATTTTGACTATTTCCTGCACACATACCTGATTTTCATAACCTCACCTTTTTCTTAGAAATCCCCACTCATTTTATGAATGAAAATAATGCCCCACCCCCTGGAAAAAGAACCCTTTACGAAAACCTAGGAAATCCTTAGTCCATGAGAGACTGGAGGCTGTTGCTATTGTTGTTATGTGCCCTCGAGTCAGAGACCTGACTCATAGCGACCCCAGACTGGAGGCTAGCTAGGTGGAAGCTCCCCTCCATCTTTCCCTTTTGAGCCCCTCCCCTCTCCTTTCTCTTTAATAAACTTTGGTTCCTGTGGACATTTTGCCTCTCCTGCTCAATTCTTTGTAAGTAGGAATCAAGGACCACTGCCAAGGCTCCCAGGGACCCCTGTAACAAATGTTATGACCTACGAAGGGACATTAAGGGTCCTGCATTTATTTGAAAGGAGGTCTGCTAGACCCTGTCAGACAGACAAGTAGCAGCCAGGATTCAATTTGTCCTGAGTCCCTCCCTCCTTATGAGTAGACTTCTAATTCTAAACCCTTCAAATTAAGTCTCCATATAAACCCCAATTTTTCCCACTTCATTTGTCCCCTTGTTTTCCTTTCTTTTTCTGTTTCCTGCCACACAGAGAGACACTGTTCCTAGTCTGAACTGTGAGGCTGCTAGGTGTTTTTCCTTTCTTCTCTGAGTCATTCTGATTGATTATTGAGCAGATAATAGGGACTTTCCAACTTGCTGTTGTTAGGTGCTTTCAAGTCCTCTTCAACTCACAGCAACCCTATATACAACAGAACGAAACACTTCCAGGTCCTGTGCCAGCCTCCCAATCCTTGCTATGCCTGAGCTCATCATTGCAGCCACTGTGTTAATCCATCTCATTGAGGGCCTTCCCCTTTTTCATTGACCCTTCACTCTTCCAAGTATGAGAATATCATTCTCCAGGGAATGGTCCCTTCTGACAACATGATCAAAGCAGATCAGACAAAGTCTGGCCATTCTCACTTCCAAGGAGCATTTCAGCTGTACTTTTGCCAGGACACATTTGTTAGTTCTGGCAGTCCACAGTACTTTCAGTATTCTTTGCCAACACCACAACTCAAAAGCATCAACTCTTCTTTGGTTTTCTTTATTCACTGTCCAGCTCTCACATGCATATGAGGCAAATGAAAATACCATGGCTTGGGTTAGGCGCACCTTAGTCTTCAAGGAGACATCTTTGCTCTTCAGCACCTGAAAGAGGTCTTTTGCAGCAGATTTGCCAAGCGCAATATGCCATCTGATGTCTTCAATGCTGCTTCCATGGGTGTTGATTGTGAAACCAAAAAATATGAAATCTTTGACAACTTCAATCTTTTCTCCATTTATTGTGGTGCTGCTTATTGGTCCAGCTGTAAGGATTTTCATTTTCTTTATGTTCAGATGTAATCCATACTGCAGACTGTAGTCTTTAATCTTTATCAGTTCAGTGCTTCAAGTCATCCACACTTTGAGCAAGCAAAGTTGTGTCATCTGCATATCTCAGATTGTTAATGAGTCTTCCTCCAATCCTGATGCCATGCTCTTCTTCATATAGTCCAGCTTCTCTGATTATCTGCTTAGCATACAGATTGAATAAGTATGGTGGAAGGATACAACCATGTGGCACTCCCTTCCTGATTTTAAACCATGCAGCATCCCCTTTTTCTGTGTGAATGAGAGCCTCTTGGTCTATGTACAGGTGGACTTCCCAACTTAGGCAGGTTGAAAAACACACTCAGCCAGATTTGATCACTCATGAGTGACCTCTGTGTGAGGGGACTTGGTCCCCAATAGTGAGGGAGAAGACCAGGGTGCCCCTAGTGAATGGGGTGGCCATACTCCACTGAGAAGACTGTTCTTCAAGAATGGGGGAGGATCCTCCTGTTGAGGGGTTCAGGTCCCCAAAAAACAAGGGGGTCCCCTTGTGGAGATGTTCAAGTCCTCAAGAACAAGGGAGAAAAGACCTAAGTTTTCACTTTCTTTTCCTTGACTTTAGTGACACTTAGTGATCTTTTTTCCTTTGAGCTTTTTCATCCCTTTCTCTCTCTTTGAATTTAAACTTCTCCTTTTCTTCCCTTGAAAACCGGACACCTGTTGAGAAAGTGCCTTCTTTATCTTCCTGTTACTTCTACCTCCTTTGTTTCCATCTTTGGGGCGATCTCAGTGCCAGTACTTTTTCCAAATCTTATCTTGTAATTGTA